ATAGGGAAATTATTCCTCTATTTTTGGATCTAGTTTCCAAGACACTTGAGACTGAGTGTTTTGTTGGGTATCAGGCAGAATCTTCATTTGAGGATTAGGGATTTCAGTAAAAACGAAATGATACCGCAAGAGAAATGAGAAGATGTTTCCCCCATTTACTTTAATACCTATTTAAAATTGGTATTGGAAAGATAATGACAGATTGCTTTTAGCTGAATTTTTCAACTGTGCTCTAGATGCCTTGTATTTCTTTTCAATTAGGCTGACTGCTTTACCATGGTAGGAGATTATTCCTCCTGCATGCTGAAAAGATATTAACAATTAAAATGGATGGGGGTGCAAATAGCAGATGATTATTGAAGTTCTCTTTGGCAAACGACAAGGGTTTCTCTTTGTAAATATCTTGTTTTAATGTTTGTTATTAAGCAAAAACAGCATGCATTGGAAAGATACAATTATTAAAAGAAAGTATTTTTTTTTACAAATGTAAATATTTACTTAACAGTGGTACTTAAATCACTTGGCCTCATGCATCAGAATGGGGTAAAGTTTTCTTCAGGCATAACACTGTGTGGAATGAATTTCTCAAGCTTTCAAGACCCGAATATTGTAAACAACACTTTTCCTCCTGCTTCTTTCCCCAAAGAAAGGAAGAAAACAGAGGAATGAGCAAGTGACTTCCCTCCAGCATGGGAGAGGCTGGGGGGTGATGCAGGGTGATGCAGGTGCCCCTCTCCTCCGGGCATACTTCACCCAAGTTCCCTTTATTATGTCTTTGCATTACGGAGGCACTCCTGATGGTTTTCTTAAAAGATATTATTGATTTTGCCAATGGGAATAAAACTTGGTAACAACAACTGAAAACCCCTTCTTTAGGTAGTATGAAATTAGCAAAACCCTCTTCTAAACTGCCCTCCTGAGAGAGCAGGCAGAGATATTGTAGTGATTGGTGGGATTCCATAACTTTAATGCTCTCCCAAAACAACTCCTTGCCTTTTTTTTTTTTGTTTCTTTTTCTGTCTCTTTTTTCTCTTTTTTTTTATTGCTAAAGTGGTTTTGAAAGTAGATAACAGGCATATTCTACACTGCCAATGCCTTTTAAGAATCTCTCAATACCTGTAAAACACTGGTTTACCTTGATCTACTCTGTTTCCACCCTGCTGATTTTTCCATATGGGCTTATATTAATCCAAACCAACACTCATTTACTAAGCATTTCAGCAACCAAATGAACATGTAGCAAACATAATTCCATTTCCAACACAACAGGTAGCAGCCTAGCTGGCTTCAAATGATGTCCACTTTTATCCCAACTCCACACACGCAAATCCCATTGGTTAAGATTTATAACAATTTATGGCTAGATTATGAGGTTTAAAAATAAATACATTAAAAGAGTTGTCTGGAGAGAAGCCTACACACAACACATAACTATGTTAAATCAGTAAAGTTCACTTTAGTTTTCTGTAAAATTCTCACATATAAGTATACTTTTTCCAGCCTTAATCAGAACCACTAGAAAATCTTGAAGTACATAGACGCAGTGTTTTTTTTCTTGCAAAGCTAATCCAACCAAGCACTATTAACTTGCTACAGAAGAGTAACAGCATTCACAACTTCTTTGGTTAATGCATATTAGAAAACAATCTCTAGATCTTCAATTTCAGTAAATTTGCATAGTGCAACTGATCTTAGATATTCAACAATTAGCTGTGTTTGAAAATGCAATTCCAGACTGAATTAACTGTGGCGACAGCTCTGGAAAATGTTTCATTCATGTGGTCAGGCAAGTACAAGTAGATTAAAAACCCAAGTACTGAAGTTGAAATGATAGGGGAGAAAAAACCCAAAACCTTACTTATGACATTGTACTTTATATAGCACCTTAAGTAAATTCAGAAACAAATATTATATTTTATACTCATTTTCTTTTTTTTTCTTTTTTCTTATTTTTTTTTTTTTGAAGAGAGGAAGAAAATTTACTAGTAGCAAAGATTATTCATCAGTACACTGCTGGATCTTAAACCTTTATGGCCAATGATCCAAAACACACCATCCATCACTCATTTAAAAGGGAGGGCTCCCAACCTTGAGGCGTTCCCTTGGACTTGTCCCTACCACATGGCAGAGCTGCAGATCCTGACACAAGCAGGACTGACTGCATAAGGCTGACCACAGGGCTCCTTTTATACACACGTCAACTCTGAACTGTGACTAGATATGGTCACATAGCTCTCCACTGGCTAAGGACCAACATCCTGCCCCTGCATCCACCAGCAACCCTCTGTGGTGGGACAAGAACTGCAGTCCCAGGAGCAATCCTAGTATCTGTCTGTTGGGGGAAAAACCCCCAGCCTCTGGTCAGGGCTTTTGTTAGGGCAGGTGTACCTGACACACTGTGCACACACACACATGATTTCATATTTATATTAGTCATATCTGTAGCCTCATCTCCCCACATCCTTTTTAGCCCAGTATAACTCTGCTAACTTTAGAGCAGCTATTCCCAATTTATATCAGATCTAATATTCTTAGAATCATAGAATCATGGTTAGGGTTGGAAAGGACCTTAAGATCATCAAGTTCCAACCCCCCTGCCATGGGCAGGGACAACTTGTTCTAAACCATATAACCCAAGGCCTCATCCAACCTGGTCTTGAACACTGCCAGGGATGGAACATTCACAACCTCCCTGGGCAACCCATTCCAGTGCCTCACCACCCTCACAGGAAGCAATTTCCTCCTTATACCCAATCTAAACTTCCCCTGTTTAAGTTTTAACCCATTACCCCTTGTCCTAGCACTACAGTCCCTAATGAAGAGTCCAGTATCCCTATAGGCCCCCTTTGTCATAATCATGCCTGTCCTCATCTTTCACTTGGAAAGGTTCGGAATCAAAATCCTCATGCTAGCTGAAGATCTCGTTTTATTTCACAAAACACAACTGGATTGCTGGAAGTCAAAGAGAAATGCGAAGGCAGAACGGACTTGAAACATCACTACTCAGCTCTCATTTGAAGCAAAATGGACCAAATAAAATGCTCTCTGAAAATACTTGGGAACAGTATTTAGGAAATGGGCTTCGAAATAAACTGATCTGTGTGGTGGCAATGACAGCAATTACTATTAACCATCAGAACAGATGCATGTCCTGATAAAAGCTGCAGTGTGAAAAGTAAGGTGATTCGGGTTTCTACGTTTGTCAAGTTCATCACTGAATTAGATGCTTTGAACCTGCTAATGGTAATTAACAGCTATTAATATCATTCATAACAGTCACATGTCCATACATAGATACATGTCTTAACAATAATGTGGCCATGGAAAGTATTTTGCCCTTCCCCCAGCTCTTCTTCAAAGTGCATGAGCCCCAGGGACCCGCATCCTGGATGGGTCCATTGACTTCTCTGCTGAGATGACCAGAGCTGCAAAACAACATTAAACTAAGAGTGCAAACTGTGGTTATTTTTTTTTTTATATGTTACAACAACATAGGAATCTCTACAGATTCCTGGAGGAAGATTCTTGTGCAACCTTATTGGACAAACTGTTTAATTAATTTTCTGGTTCTTGTTAACATATTTCTAACAGGTAACAATGGTTTTGTAATGATAAAAAAAATCTTCATTTATGATGCTTAAATTAATGTAATATTATTTTTCTTTAAATCCTAGAAAAAGAATGATAATTTATTCACAATAAGGGAGTGAACTTGCACTCAATTCTATTTAAAGAATAGAAGCTATAATAGTGGGAATTCAGGAACTACATTAGAATCTGTGATGTTAACGAATAGACCATTGGTGTGCAGGAAGTCAATAATCATCTACAGTAATCTTCCAATCATGCAGTAATCAGAAGTAAATTACCAAGGACAGAAATTGATGGTGGACATATCTAAAGTGTCTCTCTTTACCAATTCTGTCTATCTATCTTAGAAGTTTTTATTAAAAAGATTATTGTGAAGATATTTACAGAAAGGACCAATGACACAGATGAATTTTAAATGTCAAGTTACCTCTGGCAATGAATATTTTTGCTGTGTTATGGTACTGTGCTCTAACAATAGACACCTAGAAAAATCCAAGCCACTAACTTGGATGCTAAACTTGGAACCAGTCTTAGGTCAGCTTTACAAACAACCCAAGGCCTACAATAAGGAAGAAAAGAAAAACTTTATATATATGTGTGTGTGTGTGTGTGTGTGTGTGTGTGTGCATGTAAATGCATTTACGTGTGTATGTATTTTTAGTTCAGATGAGAACAGATTTGAGACTGTTCTCATCCTGGATGTTTGGGGGATTTTTGTACTTTCCTAGAATAATGAAAGTACATTTGGACCATAATTACAACTTCTATGCTCAACTAGTCCATTTATACATGGGAACCCTTGAAAATGTGTTTGTCCCCTTGTTCTACTGCTAGAAAGAGGATTTTGTTCATATTGCCTCTTAGTTGGCGTTTACATGGCTTACTCTATGGTTATGACAACAAAATATTTTCCAGTTCACTCTGGGATGAGAGCTGGAAAAGAATGAAGTGCATTTTGCTGAAGAAGAAAGTCACATGCAGGTCTTAGCTATAGTGAACACATACTAGACATGTTCAATAAACTGGCAGAGTCACTATCAGGTAAGTAGAAAAGGTGTCTGCTGGACTACCAGAGACATAACACATGACAAGAATATCTGGATTAAACAGCTGTCTGTGCGCCCAAAGAAATTGCCCACATGTACATATGCACACACACACATACACAGAATACTGAGGTTGGAAAGAATCCCTAGAGGTCATCTGTCACAATGCACTGCTCAGATCTCCCAAATGATCAGCACCTGAACTAATTGTGAAACAAAGCAAAAGGAATGACAGAAGGATCTTCCATGTGGCAAGTCTCTAGGACCATATGAAAGAAAAGAGAAAATATCTTCAGGCGGAGATAGCAGCACTGCTGTTCTCCGCTTGTTAGTGTGGAGTTTCAAAATCATTTAGGGAAGGCAAATGGTAGAAGTTCTTTCTTGGAGAGTTTCCAGGAGAGGCCTCTCAGTATTATAGTGACATATTCTCTTTCTTGGGAAGTTCCACTATTGAGTACTTGCACTTTTATACATCTGCAGTGGTCACTGAAAATTCTAAATAAAGATTTCTGCAAAATAACTTTATAGATATTCCCTAAAAGCTGGGAGGGTAGAATCATTTAGCTCCCAAATCAAATAAATTATTTATAGAATATTGAGAAATCATGCAAATTACAAGACAGCAGAGGAAAATAGGAGTAATTTCTCGCTTTTAAGTTATAGAAATAAGTTTTGAAAAACAAAACAAGTGAAAACAAACAAACCCGCTACTTTTGCCTTTATAGTATTGATTCATTAGTATTGATCTAACTTTAGTAGTGAAGAGTGTCCAAATATTATCACCTACTTATGATCCAGCAGCAGAAAGCAGTATGGTTTTGTTAACAATGTATGTATGCAGTTCAGATTACACAGAATCTCTAACTGTGTACCTGATACACCATAAATGCACAAGAACATTCATGCTTAAATACACAAATGCAGAAATAAAAGATCACCAGTAACATTATATCGAGGAAAAAGTGAATTAATGAACCATCAAGCAATACTCTTTCCAACAGTACCTTCTAGACCCCCCAAATACCTTTTAAATTCCTTACATTTCCAACGTTTAAGGCTTTACAAAATGGCTTTGGTAAAAAAAAATACACAGTTTAAATTGTATATATAGTGCATGTATATACCCTACTGATGTTGTGTTATTGCAATAGTAATCCTCAGTACGAGAGGAACCGCAGGTTCAGACCCCTGGTGCGTGCACTTGGCTGAGGAGCCAGTGGCACGAGGCTACCATCTGTGGGCTTATGACTGAACGCCTCTAAGTCAGAATCCCACCTAGACGTAGTGATACTGCAGCGCTGCCGGTGCCTGTGTGAGATGACGTTAGCAGAAGCTGAGGCTGACCCAGGAGATGACAGTCTTGCTCAGAATGTGTGGGTTAAAGCCCTTCCTGAATCTTCAGGCCTTCCTCATAGCAGAAGGAAAACTCCTATCTTCAAACCCGGGCTGATGGAGCTCGTTTAGCCTTGTAAGGTCTTCCATCAAAGAGAAGGACAATCTTACAAAACCTACAACCTGAGAACTTTGCTATCACTATCCTAGATAACTAGGCCCTGCCAGTTAAACCTCAGGTGTAAAGGGTGGGGCCAGTTCTGTGCAAGCTGCGCTTCACCTAAAAGAACCACTGCGCAGGCTTGAAGGGCTTAATCTTGTCTGTACGGATGGACAAGGGTCAGAATGGTTGGTGACAAGGTACATGGGAAGCTGCAGATCCAAAGTTGCATGCGGGAGGACTGGCGCGTGGGTAGCTCGAGATTGCTCAGGAGATGACAGTCCTGGTAGGACACTCCCTGATTGCCTAAGCACCCTTTTCCAACCAGATTTGCATATCCCACATGCCCTTGGTCATCGTGCTTGTAGTAAGCCTGGGTAAAGCCCTTCCCAGATATTCGCTTAAGAAGCCAAGCCATCAACCAATCAATCAATACAAATAGTGCATATATGTATAGTATATATTACAGCTTAGCTTTTCCATGCCTAATGTTTGAAATGGCACTCACTTTCAGTGACCAAGGAACACTCAGAATTAACAAGTCTCGAGAAAAAGACAAGGCTGTCTTGCAAAGAGCTCCAGCAATAGGAACTGGAGCTCTTTGCAGCTCTTTAGCTACAGATCTAACAGGACCCCCTTGACCAGTACTAAATGCTGTTTTTTTCCAAACTAAAAATACTACTGCAGGTGACAAACACCTCATCTGTTCTCCTCTGGCAAAGTCAACGCTGCAGTGGCTGTGAAAAATAAAGCTTTGCATTACTTTATAGGTAGACTAAAATTTTCTGATATTTTATTGGGAAAAAAAAAACCAAACAACCCCCCCCCCCCGACATTTGGTAAGTCCTTGCATACAATTACTGTTCTCTATCCTTAGCACTTCAGAATTAAAATATGCTAACATATATATATGTATTTTATATTTAAGAATTTTATATATACACATATATATGCACACACATACATACACACTTTTCAAGAAAGTCACACAAAGTAAATTCTATTCCAAAGCACAGTAGTTACCCCTGAAGACTAGTCTATTTCAACACCCAAGAAAATGAAACTGCAATACTATTGCAAACCTGCTTAAAATATTTGCTTACACTCTGAAAGTAATTTCCACAGATTATGCATTTTACAATACATGCTCTCAGCTGCACCCTAAAACAAGGGTTGCAATTTTCCTGAGTAGAGATAAATTGAAAAGCACATTATGTAATTTTTACTGAAGTGATACAGTGATGCTGTTTGATCACTCAGTTTCTGTAGACCACACAATTTCTATCATATATAGATCAGAAAAGATTCAATGGGGAATTCTGTCAGCTATGTCTGAAGTGCTGCAGGCTCATGCCAAAGTCCTTAAGACTTTCATTTCATTAAGGTGCCTTAATTGCATTGAGTCCTACCAGCCACAGACATGTAGGCCTGAGGCCACATGTAGCTCACACGTTCATTGTCTAGGTGAAGACTGCAAGATTAGAACCTTATTTAGAATAAACTGCATGTCCAATCAGAGAGGAGCAAAATTTTGTTGAGAATATAACCAAGGCAGTCTTGCAAACCTCTTATCTTGATCCAATCTTATTTTACATTTATGCTAACAATATAGAACGGGTAGCTTGGAGCTTTTTATCTTTCCAGTGATTATACCATTCTGTATTCTGTAAGTACTTCATTGTCCTCAGTTAAAAATGAACTACAACAGAATTTTATTAAAATTCAGGAAACATTTTCTGATTCAAGTTTGCTATTAAGCACAAGTAAAATGAAATTCATTATTCTGGTTGGGGTAATACATTTAATACTGATAATGATAGATCACCTAAAATATTAACTTCTAACTAGATGTAACTGAAATATGTTTCAGTTTATAAACACTGAAATATTTTGTTAGGTTGTGCTCTGTTTCTTTACTGTGCAATAGAAAACATAATCAAACTACTAGATTTTCTGTACTGTAACCTGTTTTGTTAAATTCATTCAACCAAGCAATTACAGGTTTAAGAAATTGGCTATTTCTTATCAAAGATCACATCATATGTTGAGTAACTCCTGCATGATACTGAAAAAAAAATGGAGATTTCACTATTGCAAGCTATATTTGTTGCAAGAACTTCCTCTTGTTTTCTCTTTATCCTATGAAGGCTGTTGAATCAGACTACCTAGGAGAGAAGACACCTGGAAATAATGGGCAAATGCTCATTCAGAGCCTTATTTTTATGAAATTTATAGACATATAACATGAATGTGTAGCTTGTTCTGGTTTGATAATTACCAGCTGCATTTAATTAATCCTGATCTGGCAGTCCAGGTAGAATATTATTAAAAATCATTTATTAAATTTTTATTAGTAAAATTTCAGTCCCATAAGCTTTTTTTTTTTTTCTCTGAATTTTGCCCACAGGGCTGCAACTTTACTCTTGAGTTATGGACATACTGTCATTGTCTACCTTGCCCCTTTGAGGGATAATTTGCACATCAGTTATTTGACAAGTACTGGGGGAAAGCCATTTCCTCTCTCTTTTCCCAGCTGATCCAGGCAGTGAGAATAAAGGGACATTATAAACCATTTTATTTTCCTCAAAGTCCACAGAGAACAATAGATGCTGCTACTTTTTGCAAGCCTCAATCCCTTGGTCCCATATCTGGGTGACATTTTTGCAACCAAATTTCAAAGGTTTCAGACAGAACTTAAAAAATATTGAGTTTTTTTCAGTATCAAAACTTAGCCATGATCTTGCTTCCCTAAGATTGTACGTAATGACTCAAAAAAGAAGATCAAAATTCAGTTTGAGTAAAATTGCCAGGAAAAATGGACACATTCAAAAACCTGCTTTACAGGAAATGAAGTAGCTTTTCTTAGCCCATAGAGCTTAGCTGTGGATGATAAGATGCAATGTTTTAGATTTGTTCTTGAGAATTCTGAGAATTTTCTGAGTGTCTGTGTTCATATATTTTCCTCTTTGTAAATGTCACAGCTGACTGTTATTAAATGTTTATTAAAGTTACGCTACAACAAAAGCCATATTTAAAATTTTGTCCTTTTATTTGTGGAGAAGAATCTTGAGCAAATATCCAGCACCGAAGCTGGAGTCCTTTTCAATATGTGGCCTTGCTAAACACCAGGCATTTAAAAAGCATATACATACTTTATACCTTAAGGATGAAAGATGCATGCTAGTAATATTATGCAAGCTACTCACGTATTGAGGGCTTTTTTGTTTTTGTTTTTGTTTTGTTGGTTTGGTTGGGGCTTTTTGGGGGTATTTTGTTTTTTGTTTCTGGAGTTTTAATAGACCCTTAAAAAAATTATCATGGGTCAGAGTAATATGGACAGCCTATCACATACAGCCTGAACCAGAACAACATGTAATTTTCTTCAAGACAGTTATAGGCTTGCAACAAGATCACTATAAGAAAATACTAGGATTTTAAATGCAACTCTCTAAGACTCTCTAAGCACTTCAATTTCATACCGTTCTACAACAGGAAATAATAACTTCACATGTTGCAGGACTCCAGCTAAAGTCACTTTAAGAATTTTAAAACATATCTCTATCTGATGTGATGGAAAAGTCTGGAAACTTCTGCAATAGATTTCTATAAAATGCAGCTCTTGCAGTACTATCTTCCCTGTAAGGCAGCAGGAACTTTGGGCAATGAAAATAAAAGAGCAAATCATGACAACAGTTCTTTGGGCCACATTATCTCTATGTGTTTGCAGTATACCACTTTAGAGATCTCAGACTTTCATCACCAATGAGTATTACCAAAGTATTTGCTGTGCTGGAAACATAAGAACTCAAATGTGCTAAAGAACAGTGATACTTAAATTAGGTCAATGATAATACTTAATCTTTAACAGGAGAACTGATTCTTCCCAGACTGTAGCCAGTCCATTCCACAGTTAATGAGCAGAGAAAATAGAACATGTCTTTTCCCATTTAAACCACACAATGACTCTCAGTGTACCTTCTCACAGAACTCAAAATTAAATAAGTATTTCAAGTTGTCACTTTGTATATCCCTGAGAGAGACTCATTGATTTATTTGATTGCACAGGGGAAACTGGAAAAAAATAAAGAAGCCTCCACCCTGAGGGGCTCGGGGGAGACCCAGGCATGACCACCTGGCAGCAGACTCAAGCACTGTGATGGAGAAAAGGATAAGGAGCAAGGATTACAGGGAAGTTGCATGGGGCCATGCCTACAGAGTTGCTGTTGTCCACAGTGGAGAAGCTGAGGGTGTAAAGCACAAAAATGCTTTGGGGAGTGCTTATCTGGGAAAAGACGTTATATATCCTGAGAGAACACATCCTCTTTCCAGGCAAAATCCTTCTTGAGGGGTTACTGAAGAACTTGGGCTATTACTTAATGGAATTATTTTCACTGTGTTGACATTCAATATGTGAATTTATGTAAATATATGCCCTGCCTGGCTGAAAGGACAAAAGTAATGAAGTCTTCTAACCCAAGAGTAGAGATGGAAGATTGAAGATGCAGATCAATATAGCTTAGTTTGAGAATGCGTTTACCTAGCTGAAAGTGAGCATGTTTTAAAGTGACTGCCCTCAAAAGTAACTTATCATCTTCCCAGTTTTTCCATTAAAAATGGGAAATCACTATACAGTTAAGTCAACAAGAAATATCTGAAAAGTTTTTTTGTATGAAGTTGATTTTGTTTAGAAGCTTAGCTAAAATTGTTTGTGTAAAATATGAACTAGGACTAGGTTTAAAACAGGTTTTGTTTAGCGTGTTTTAATAGAAAATAATCAGTGCAGTATATACAGTACTGTAACATTAAAGAGTGCTGCAGCATAAAAGTATTTTATATTATATCATAAACAGTTTGTATTTACATTTCCATTTAAGAAATCTGTGTTATAGAAGCTGGTTTTAAAACCAAACAGTAAAAAGTTTTCAGTATAGAATGTATTTCCATTAACAGACTCTGCATAAGGGAAGAGGATTTAGAAAAACAAAGTAATCTCATGATTGTTTTGCATAAAAAGGGCATTAGCATTGAAATTTTCAGCAAAAGTTATAATCAGTTTTTGATATCTACTTACTGCATTCCTGGTAGAAGCACAGGCTACAGGTGGTAGGTGAATTGTTGGTTTAGATAGGTGAAATACTATTCATAATTGCTGTAAATGAATTATTTTCTCTCAAAAGAATTTCCAGTTTCCAATGGTGAAGATGTTTCTGACTACAGTTTGCATGACAGTAGCACCCACATGCTCAACCCAGATTAGAGCTTGGTGTGACACCAACACAAAGAAGAAAGTTCTCTGAAGCAGGGTGGGGAGAGAGAGAGAAAGGATGGAATGGAGTCTCAAATGTGATATGTTTTATTTAGGATCATATCCACATCGTTGCCACAGCAGGGAAGAGAAGCCAGATCTCCACAGTTCCAATGAATGTGTAGTAAAGCCCATAGGATATTTAGCATATAAAGTTTTTGACTGGCTGACTAATCGCTTTTTTTCTGCATGAGACAGTTGGGATGACAACTGCCTTATTCTCTGTTTGGTGTGTTTTTCACTGGTACTGGCAACAGCCATATCACAGTCTTACGGCTTTTTAGGGATCCAAGCACAAAGATTACAGGTTCACACACAGCCAACAAGGAATGCCTTTAAATGGACTTGAAAGTCATTTATGCTCATACAGATCACTCAAATGCAATATTTATTTATTTTTTTTAATACCTAATTGTGTTAGAACGGCACTTA